CAAGTTTCTTATTTTATGTAATACTTATTTCTTCTCACAAGGTTTGTTCAATTTGTTTAAACTTGTTTTCAAATACCAAACAAGATACCTCGTATTCAAATCGGAATCGACACGCAAGTCAATTTATAATAAAAACTCCACTGAGTATTTTGAAATAAAGTTCAAATTATTTTTGAAATAAATAAGGACATAATTCATAAATATCTGGTTATCGAAAGGTATAGCTTTTTATAACATATATATATCATTTTATATCATGTTCGTTGATTTTGGATGTGGTAAATCATAATGATTTGCTGACTTCTATATCCTATATAAATAAACAGAGTATTTGTATAATAATGTTCTATTTTTTGCCTGATCTCATTTGAGAGTATTCATGTATATTCATATATTAGGTAAAAATATATAAAATATCTTAACATTCACTTCAAATTCTAGATGAATTATCTAAATAAATATATAACCCTTTTTCTACTCTTCGCATTATATAGATTCTCTCTTGTTTCAATGTGTTCAAGTCTATTATATATATATATTAATAAGCCCATATTCACATCATAATCCAATAGAAGTTTATATATATGTATATTACACAGACACATTACCCTTTTCATATGTAGTATATTTCATGGAGCAAATTAAGTGTTAAATATATTACAAGTTTTACTTTTTAAATTTAAACGTAAATAAGCTTAGAGCTGAATGAGTTTGGGGGATTTATAAGATAAACACACCTCTCTAAGCCTTTTTATATAAGTACGAATGACTTACAACGATTAGCTCATTTTCTATACTATATATTTAAAAAAAAAAAAAAAAGTATAAAATGACTTGATAATTGGATTTTGGCATTATGCATGCAATTTATTTCGCCAGTTCAAAATATACGTGGTAATACAATTTTAGAAACTTTTTAAGAATTTATATTATTTGAAAGAAAAGCGACTTTATAATATTTGTGCTCCAGTGAGCTCTACGTAAGTTATGAAAATCCAAATTTTAATTTTGACAGAAAGTGGTAAAGTTAGATGAAGTATGAAATCGTATTTATACACTATTCTGCAGGAATAAAAGAGTATATTGGACTCGTACGAGGCCATTTTGTAACGCTTTATGAGCTAGAATTTCAAGAGAGAGAATTTCAACTTCGAATATATGAACGTGCATACCCGACTTAGATCAATTTCGGCAAAATATCAAGCTTAATGGCCAAGGGAAATGACCCCGTTTTTGAGTATCCAAATTCGACTTATTAAACCAGATGATTTCTTGCAAGATATGGTCAAAAATATTGCTGACAACGTCTACAAACAGACTCTATCTATTATCAGGATCTGTAATTATTATTTAATATATTTAAAATAAAAAAAAGGCATCCGACTAGAACAGATGATTAACTTTAGTTATAGCTATAGAATATCTATAATGATAGCTATAATTCTGTATATATAGTTATATTATAGCTATAACTATAGAGAAGCCATCCAGATTCAACAAAAGATTAACATATTCTTTTTTAGGATATTTCATTGCTCTATGCTAATGACTTTTATGGAGTTATATTATAAGACGCAGACTAAAAGCAATATTGATTATTGAGCAATAGAAATGAAACTCAAAATCAAGAAAGAAGGGCTTTCTGCGACACTCCGAACATTTAATACCCTTTAAAGGTGCATACATTTTTAAAGTATATGGAAGTACGCAAAAGTTTTATTTCTTTTCAATTGTTTTTCAGATACATAAGTAGATCATAAGAGCTCGTAGCTCGTGTTTGTCAAGTTATTTTAAAGAAAAAGAAAAGGTTTCCATTAAAAAACTCTTCTTTCGACGATTCTAGCTATGTAAGGATATGATATAACATTGTTTAAACATGTTAAGCTCTTAAGTGAAAAGCTAGTTGGAAACCAAAAAAGTTATTATTATAAAAACTTTAGTTAAAAATGATTGCAATGACATGACCTAATGCGCGGATCCTACCAATGCCGATATATGTAAGAAAAAGTCGGCTCTAGGCAAGGCTTTAAAACTGAGCGACTCGCTTGCAAAAAAACAGGTAAACGGACATGTTTACATTGACTCGGCTGTTGATACTGATATGATCATGAACATGAATATATAAATGATATGAATAAATAAATGAATATATTCATGATCATGAATATATAAAGGGCTATAAATACAGGGTATATAATGCTGATTTTGGCGACCTTTCCTTTTTTAAAAAATGTATTAGCTCGAGCTAGCTAATAAAATATTTATAAGGTATATATATGTATATCTATATATATCTATAAGGTATATTTATATGAGGTATATAAATATATAAAAGTTATATCCTTATAGGTTCAGAGATGTCTTCTCTTGTAGGCTTTACACACTCCTTGAGAATATCATAATACAAGGGTATAATAATGGACTGAATTTTGTTTGTTCGCACAAAAATAAACCGCAACAGAAAGATTTTTTAGGGAACTGCGTCCTATTGGCTATTTAGTACATTACGAACAGAGTGTTGTGCAGTCGGGAACTGTCAAGTGCAACATTTTAACGTGTTTGACTCTTTGTTCTGTAAAAATGTTTGAATATCATTTGATTGTTGCTCTTGCTGTTGTTGTTGTCTTTGTGTTTGTCGCTTTTGATAAAGATAAACTGCGCTTTTTCGTCGAACAACGAATCTGTAGCTGTTTTTTTTTTTTTCAGTTGAAATTTGTTTAGTTTTTTGCTACAAATTTTGTTTTGCGTTTTATGTTTTTTTTTGCGTTGGTTTTATTTTTGCACATTTTGGTGATAAGATAAGCGACCTTCTGACGGTTGGGCCATGCTTAGGAGCGAAGCCATACGAAATGGTTTAACAAATACTGTAAAATGAGCGCGCGCGTGCCGCATGTCCGCTGCCCCGCCCCAGCCCCCCTACCCCAGCTGCCCCCGTTCAGATAATGGCTGGGGCAGGAGCCAGCGAGAACGACGGGGTTGATTTAGCAGCCGCAGTGAGTGAGTCATGAATACGGCAAGTCCATTAAAGGTGAATCATTTAGCCGTCCATCGTATTTGCACATTTGTCCATCTATCTGGTATCTGGGGCGCCCTTGACCCGACGCCGTTGCCAGTCTTTTTCGTTATTCGTTTCTGGCCAGATACATTTTGTATCTTTGTATCTTTTGCAATTTCGGACATTAAGGGCAGCGCAGCCGAAATGCATGGTGAAAGTCGGCAGCGCTGGCGATGCTTGTGTGAAAATGCTGGCCCACAACTTGTATGCAACCCCTTCCCGCCCGCCCCTCGCCGGCGACCAACGCGCCATTGTTTGTAATTGTCAAGTGAATGGCAGAGGGGGAGGATGAGGGGGTATCTTTAGTGCATGTTGCTTATGTTTAATTTCTTTTCTATTTTTCTATAGTTTGCTGCTTTGCCTCACGTTTCGCTAGCCAAATATTGTGTTTTTTTTTTTTTTTTTCTTTCTTATATATTTATTTTTTGCTCTTGACCATGTTGGCAAACTTGTTTGAAAGCCTAAACACAACAGCCCGCCGCCCCGTTGCGCGGCCCTGCCATTGTCTAACACAAAAATGTAGCCACAGATACAGATGCAGCCACAGATGCAGCCACAGTTGCATAGAGCTGTGAGTGCAGCGGTTACTTGCAACTGGCCAGATTTGAAAGTGGACGCGAACGCGGACTTTGGAGAGCATCGTGAGATTTTTGGCACACATGTGTCTGACAGAAACGCCAAAGCAGAACGGAAATGAAAAGTGGACGCACACGAAGCCAAAGGCTGAGACAAAGCACAAATTAAAGAAAATCGACCGAGAGAGGGAGAGAGAAAGAGACAGGCAGATGGAGAGAGGGAGAGAGAGAGAGAGAGAGAGAAAGGGGGCCATTCGGCGGGGGGGGGCATAAAAATGTCAAAACGGTCACGCTTACGTGCGCATAGGCAGAAAACTGTGAACCTCACAACCGGAGGAGCGTCGTGAGAACGAACGCGTCTAGGAACAACAGAAAGACCAAAAAAAAAAAAAAAGATTGTAGTCGGGTATAAGCGACTGCGTAATACTCCCTCACAGTCCAACAACAGCTAAAAGCAGGCCAAAATTTATTACGAGACATCAATCAATCCCTGGAAGATTCCATTCCCTCTTCAGTCTCCAATTTTGGTCTCTCTAGCTCTAAGACGATGTACCTTTTTAGGCCTGCCACGCCCACAGTGGGAATAAATCTGCCGAGGAGTTTTTATGAGCAGGCTTTGGTTTGGCGCTAAGGCTAAATAAGAAACACTTTATCGCTTATAAATAAATATCCAAGTCTCTTACTTTAATAGAGCCTGGCCAAATGGCGTTTATATAGGCAGACGGGCGGACAGCTAATATACCCGTTTCCACATTGTGAACGAGTACAAAAAAAGACAAGAAGAAAGAGAGAGCGTCCAAGCGTGCAAGGGCTGACCATGAAGATCGGCCACGGGGCAAAAGGAGAGGAAAACAGAGAGAGAGAGAGAGAGAGCGAGAGAGAGACAGACCGAGAGGGTGAGAGACACAGAGAAAGAAAGAGAGAGAGAGATAGTGAAAGAGAGAGAGAGGGGGCATAATAACTGATTAAGTGATCTGATAATCAAATTTGTCGACTTGTACTGAAATAAAATAAATGACAATGACAAGTTCCTGTAAGACCCGCCCAAGGGGAACTGAAGTAACGCAGCCAGAGGTAGGATTTACCAGAATAAACAAGTTAAAGTGCTCCAGTCGGGAGTGCCCGACTAGGGTATACCCTGAACCTTCCTTTACACACAACAAATGCAGCTCGATAGCTGAAAAATGAGAGAAGCTCGATCTGTAAATACAATTCTTGAAGCTACATGTCAAATTTGGTGGCTGTAGCTTTTCAAGCCTATGAGATTTGATCAAAAACAGAATTTCGTTATCGATTTTTATCGATTGCATCGATTGGAAACGGGGCAAGTTATCGAAAACAAACTCGTACTGCGCATCTCTAGTTTTTATATTGAAATCTACTAAATTGATATTATATTAAATTATTTAATCAGCTGTCACAACTAGAAGTATAAATATGTACATATGCATAGCATGTTTTTGTTTATTGATAAAAACATTTTAATCAATTGCAGGCGAATAACCGAACACAATTTCAAGGCTAATCGCAGGTTAAGACGTACGTAAGTCAAATTCCCTATGATTTTATATTGACAGCGCAAAGATTGTCGAATGGTTTTCAGGCTTAACAGCGACTGTCAACCTTGACACGCAATATTTAAATTTTGACAAGGACGAAACCCAAACAACTGGTCACATTCCCAGTGGGCGTGTAACTCGTCCAACTGCATTCATGGTCAAGTTTCCAGATGCCAGTTGCCAACTGCCAGCTGCTTCGTTCCACGTTCCTGCTGCTTCTGTCCACGCCCCTGCCGCTGTCAACGCCCCTGCCTTTGACTTTTGCTGCCTGACTAGCAGGGGCTCATTTGGCTAATAGAACAATTATCGACGCCTACCGGAGTTTGACGACAAGCTGCATGGGGTGTTACATAAACCTCACACTCGCTCATAATGCTGATGTTAATGATAACGTTAATGATAATGATGATGATAATGATGATGATAATGATGGACAGCAAAAGCAACAACAAACATATCAGCTGAAACAGGTTCAAGACTCAAAATTTATTTGTTGTTAATTGAACACATAAAAATAGAAAATTTATACTCCTATACTATGTTCTGGAATATACTACGTAATGCTCAGAGTTAAAATGATAAAAAAAAAAACTGACCAAGACACGAAACATCCCGTGCTTGCTTATCTCCGAAAATGTTTAAATAAAATTCCATATTAAGTCTCAAAAGAGATCCAATAAGCCGTGAAAACTTGAACGGCTTCGCCGCGGGGGGTTTTATGAAGCTAAATTCAATTGAATAACAACTAGAGGACGTGCTAAAAAAAGTTGGTAAAAATCGAATAGGCTTTATAAATACTATAGTATAGGATAGTTGAGCTAGACAGCTCCGAGGAATGACAAAGGACTTACGAAATATTTAATCTTGATAGAAAATTTTCATAATTTCCTGTTGCTCACAGTCTCTAGTTCGAAAAAGTTTGCATTATTCTAGGGTGAACCAAAAAAAACACCTTGTAAAAAGTATACCCTTTTCTCTCATTTGTCGTATTTGTCGTCGGACCCATGCCCGGAATTTAAATGATAATAGGAGCAGCCGAAGCGAAAACATTCCAATCTCATCTCTGAATCTATAGAAAAGTTACATATTGAAAATCTTAGAAGAGATATTTTAGCTTGACTATTATGGAAATCCTTCTATAAAACCGCGGAAACTCGAATGGATTCGTCGAAACCGAAACGAAAAACAATGAAATGCTTAAAACAATTTGAGGAAGAGTTTCGACTTGGAATATACTTGATAGAGATGCAGATGGTGGGATTCAATTTGGTTTTCCATAGACAGGATAGTTATGGGCTTGAAAGATCCGACAAATCAATGAGAAATATCTGACTAGTTGCCCATTCACTAATCGGGAAAAGTTTCACCGTCCTAAAACATACACTACTACTAACTGTTTGCATGACTATAATCTATTCAATCGTATCCTCTCAAAACCTTCAACTATAACTAGATTACACAAATTTAAAATCTACCTACTGTACGGAACGGATCTACTCAACTAACCGGACAGCGCGCGAGCCCTGTGCAGAAATCTTATTGGAGTAGCGACCTGTTCGCCTCTGAGGCGCACACGGATCCAAATCAATCTGAGAGCCTAGACCATATGGCCTGCCCTGTTTTAGGCCACCACAGATGGTCTGCTGGGAGCTATGACGCCTGCCATTATTCAGTCCATCTATGTCCTCGACCTCGTTAATGTTCTCCAAGTCACTGTCGTCCAGGCTGCCCATATGGAGATCACTATAAAGCGAATATGGAACCTCGAATGGCATCATGGTTTGGCCCGTAAGCAGTTCCATATACACAGCGTGCATGGCATCATCGAGAGCATCCCTGGTTTTGCGGCGCCAACGACAAATGGAGAAGACGAACATCACCGTGGACAAGAGCAAGCGGCAACAGAAAACGGCAAGCACATCGCCAGGTGAGAACTTGGCAAACAGCCTATTGAAGCTGATCCAGGTGAAAGTAACGGCCAGATATTGCATCACCAGGCATTCGCCCATGTATAGCAGCAATCCAAAGAAACGACAGATGTAATAAGGGTTCTGCTGTTTGGTCATCGTTGGATGCATCAACAGCATCAGCACGGAGCAAATGAACAGTATGGAGGTTAAGTCCGGTTCGTGGCCATCCGAAGGCTGCCACAGGAATTCACCGAAGTGCAGAAATAATGCTACGAAAAGTGTGATTAAAAATGGAGCCATTGTCTAAGGACTCGAAATTTAAGAAAAAAAATGTCTAGAAGACGTGCACACAGAAACAAATAATAATGGAATGACATTTTACAGGCATATCAGGCAAGAAATTAGCTCGAAACTGGCCGATGCCTACTAGGATGGGAAAAGTGAATTGTGTTGACAAATTTATGGCACATTTAACATGAATAAATAATAATATTAAACATAATAGCACTTGGAATTAGCTTCATATACGTTACACACTCATTTCACATAAGTTCCACCTGTGTTTCGTATGAATTTCGTATATGAGTTTCAGAAATAATATCGTTCAAATCAAATTTTAACGTTCTTTATAGGATTCACTCGGTCCACATGCTTTCTACCCATGATAAAATGTCACCTTGATTTGCTACAATACAAGCTTACAAATAGGATCCACATTAAATGTGTATAAGAACCACTAAACTCCATCTGAGATTCGCACAGACCTCCCCTAGGATCCACATAGTCACCAAGATGTACATAGGTTCCACATCGATTCCACATAGACTCCGTATTGAATCCTTATGCATTCCACAAAATATCTACATACGAACTGCTTAGTATCCACATAGTTCCCATAAAAGTTACATATTATATTCCACATCAAATCCACATAGGCTCCGCATTAAAGCTTGATACATTTCACAAAATATTCACATGAGATCCAGATAGACTTCATATATATTCCTCATAAGCTACAAATGGATTCCACATAACCACAGACAGACCCTACATAAGGTAAACAACATATTCCACATAACATCCTTAGAGACTTCGCATTAATTCCTCATACATTCCACAAAACATAGATGCCACACAAGATACACACATAACCCTCACAAGATCCACATAGTACAATATCATTAAATTTTATTCTATAGTGTTAGGCATTACTCGCACAGTTTATATGTAGGTTCCATATGGCATGTTTCACCACCTGAGCTTCACACGGACTTCGCTTAGGATTCACAACATCTACACAGATTGCACATAAAGTCCACATTGACTGCGTATAGACCCTTATACCCCGTTCCCCAAAATATTCACAGAATACCCACATAGACGCCATATATTCCTCATTAGTTACACGTTGATTCCCTATCAAATCCCCAAACATCCCTCACAAGATCCACAAGGACCACGTACTAAAATACCATGAGAATTTCTATAGTTTCTGGCATAAGTCGTATGCAGGTTCCATGGGGCATGTTTCACACATAGCAAATGCTAATGCGCAATTATTCCGCACTCTTGCAAATACAATTCCTATGCATATTCCGCGTATTTGCCGTGCCAAGTCAAGAAAAGGGAAGGCAAAGTATTTGGTTTAACAACCTGCAGATGACAATGAGCCCTAATGGATGAGTGCGGGAATGGGCAAAAGAATGGTTTTCGGGTAGGAGAAGGAGCACGGAACGAGGTACGTGTAAACGTAAAGCCGAAGGATGTGCATAGCAGATGCCAGCCATACAAAGGCAACGTGGCGGACGCTAGAAAGCAACCCAACCCAAATGAATCCAACCCAAAACGACAAGCGCCATTCGCTGCGGCTCCTGGCTGCAAGCGCGATAGGCAAATAAGCAACAAGGACGCGAAACAGGCGAAAACGCCAACGAGGCCAAGCAGGGCTCAAAAATGTCAAGGCCCTTAGGGCTTGGTGGTCCTGGCAACCCTTTTGCCAAACGCCAAACAAGGACAATAACAATCCAGTTCAAATTCGATGCCAAATAGCGCCGAACGCCGTCGTCGTCATCGTCTCCACCTGAAGATTCATTGAATTGCGAATTTCCTCCATGCACAAAAAAAGAATTCTGCCAGCAAATTGTTTGTCATATAAAACGCAAGCCAACCTAACCATTATATTTTCATGCTGAACCAATTATGCAACGGCCATGAACCAGTTTAAAACTGGCCAGATTTAAGCTTCGAATATTTTTAAAATAGTTTTCTTCAGGCGACGCTAGCTTAACACTCAGAAAGGGGTGGAAAATGAGTGCAAACGAGTGTGATTTAAAACAGTTTGTTCTTAATTGCAAGCAACATCAACTTAAGACATGTTTAAATCATGATATTTGTATATTTGTCTCTTTTTAAATATCAAGACTCGTCAGCTCTTGCAATGCCTCACAAAAATTAATTATGACTTAAGAGGTAAACAACAAGGTTTCAACATTTTCTCTGAATTCGACTGAAAATTGTAGAAATTCACCCAAGCAGGCGAAAAACGAGTGAAAACTAAGATTTGATGCCCATTTGCAGATATGTGAGAATAGTTAAGCTCGTAAATGCAAGTTTAATAAAAATATCTTGGGGAACATAATAAGAACCTACTTTTCGCCCGATCGTTCTTATAATAACCTCTATAAAAATATAAGAGGAAGTTTCGGGTTAAGTGAAAGAAAGAAGGAATTCGATTTGATTTTTGCTATAAACCGAACGTCAAAAAGTTTTCCAAAAAACAGCTGAATCGATAACATAAAAAATGTGTAAGTTTAAAATAAATAACTCGGAGGGAAATTTAGCAACAAAGCATTAAGAACTTGGGCCCCTAACTATTCGATTTATCCACACATATTTGGTAGTTGCCAGGTTTTGGTAAATACCAAATTTAGCCCAGCTTGAATATGAAAATATTTACGGCTTGCAACGACGGGCAACTGTTAATTAAAAAGTTAAATGTTTCATTAAAATGTTGAAAGTACATAAAAACCCAAGTTTTGGAGCAAAGCCTAGGTTGGATGGATGTGAAAAACCAGATTAATGAACCGAACCTTAAGGCTGGAAGTTAGTTCGAAACTTAATCCGAACTACCAAAACTTTTTTTGGGCGGGTTCGCGACTCATTTTAAACAAGCTTAAGAGACTCAAGCTCATTTCCTCCCCTTCTCTCTGTCCCTCTCTCTCTCTCCATCCCTATTGCTAGACGTTGCATCTTAATTATGCTGCAGCCACAAAAATACTTTGTCCAATATGCACGACCATGTAAGCTGGAATATTAACACGGCAATTATTGTCGGTACAGGTTCGCACTTGCCATCTACCTTTCCCCACACTCACACTCTCACTCTCCCTCTCCCTCTCCCTCTCTCTCTAACGCTTTTGTACTTTTTGTCTCAGCTCTGCAGTTGCCTGTTGCCAACAGCATTTGCCGTGGCTTTGCGTGTCAAATCAGATTTTGTTAACTTTGTGTTGTTGCCACAACACTTCTGTGCACAATTCTTTCGGCTTTAACACCTTTCAGCGTGTGCGTGTGTGCGTGTGCGTGTGTGTGTGTTTGTTCGATTCTTATCGAGAAATGGCAAGTTAATTGCTCACGAGCTGAGAGCCCCATTCATTTGGGCCAACAAATTTTCC